CATTCTAAGTGAAATAAGTCAGAAAGAGAAATAAAAATATCACATGATATCATTTGTATGTGGAATAAAAAAAAAAAGACACAAGGGAGCTTATCTACAAAACAGAAACAGACTCACAGACATAAAGAACAAACTTATGGTTACCAGGGCATAAAGACGGTGGGAAGGAATAAGTTAGGAATTCGAAATTTGTACCTCTTGGGGAGTGATGGAAATGTTAACTACCTTGATTGTCGTGGTGGTTTCATTGGTGTATACATCTATCAAAACTCATCAAATTGTGTAGTTTAGTGAATAGGAATTAAACTGTAATAAAGGTGTTAAAAAAGTTTTAAAAACTGGTCTTTTTGGAGGAAGCAATTACCAAAGTTTAACAAGTCCTACGGTTTCACTTCATTTTAATTCAAGTTCAATTAAATTTTAATGCTTTTTATTAAAAAAAAAACTACATCAAGCAATTTAGCATAATCTCTCTCCTCCTCCCTCCCTTCCCCTCCCTCCTGTATTTGTAGGGAAGGGGGTATGTGGTGTAAGTGATCTTTATTTTCTTCTTTGTATTTCTCACTATTATTTGATTAGTTTTGCTAATGGACATGAGCTATTTTTAATGAAAACAGTAAAATTACTTGTAAAATATCTGCTTATCCTAGCTTATTTCAATGAAAGCATTTGTTCTCAGCAATCTCCAGGATTTGGAAAACTAACCTATGGGGCTTCTGGTTAAAGATGTTCTGAGGCCCAGGATGACCCCTCAAAAGGTCAAAGTTATTTGACCTGGGGATCAACTTTCTCCAGATCTGTTTTCTCAAGGAGGCCTTTTCCCTACCTGAGATTTGAAGCCTCTGAGCACAGACTAGGGGTGTCTGGAAGGACTGCCTCAGCCCACACCTCTCTCAACATCCAGGTCCAAATATCCAACCACTTCCTAGACCTTGCCCCCTGGAGCAGGATAATAAAAACCATTTCAACCACCACCATTTATCAAACATCAACTTTCATTAGAGTCACTTTCTCATTTGTTCCTTAGAACAGCCTTGCAGAGTAAATATGGCTAAGCTCATTTTCTAGGGAAACTGCAAACTAGGAAACTGAAGCTCAGTGAAGTAGATGCTCCAGGATCCCAGCTAGACAATGGGAGAGCAAGGATGCAAATCCAGTTCTGTTGGACCAGCATCCATGCTGCTCCCACGGGCATTCAACTGTCCAAACCCAAACCTGTTGTCTTCCTTCTCAAGGGATCTGCTTCCCCGGGGCTCCCCATCCTAAGTAATGGCACCATCACTCCCCTGGCCATGCGGACACACACTTGTTGGTCCTTCCAGTCTCCCCCCCTCCCCAATCTCCTCACCAAGTCCTGCCAAGGTGATCTCCAATGGCTCTCGAATCTGTCCTCCCCATCTCCCCTCCTGTCCTTCTCAGTCTACAGTCCCATCACCTCCCACCAGGCTGTTCTCATCCTCTCTTACCTAGTCTCCGTCTCCCTGCCTCTAGCCTCTCTTGTTTCAGGCCAGCTTTCATAGTCTGTCCAGAAGAATTATTCTCAGTCTACATTTTGATTCTGATGCTTCCTTACCTACAGGCTTCTCTGGCTTTGCAAGTTGTCCTGAATGAAGTTCAAACTCATTCATTGGTCCTCAAATCCTTTACCTTCTCTGATTCCCACCCACATTCCACCCTCACTGCCATCTCTCTGGATCACAAGACTCACACTTGGTTCACATGAGATTCCTTCAGTTCCTGGAACATGCCAAGTGTTAGAAGATGCCTAGTGCCTCTGCTTCTGTGGTTTCCTCTGCCTGGGATGCCCTTCTCTTCCTCAGCTCAGAGCTGCTTCTCCTGGAATCCTGCCTGGACTCATTCACCCTTATTTCCTCTGTGTTTCTAGGTATTTTTATGTTCTTAAAGTCTTAACACCATGTATGGTAGTGACATTGTCTACTCTTGTATTTCCTCTCCTACAAGGTGAGGGTGACCTCATTCATTTATTCAGTATTTATTGAGTGCTTGCTATAATCTAGGCAATGAGCATAGAGCTAGTCATATAAGGCTGAGCAAAATGCATGTATCACTGTCCTCTGGGAGCTTGTTATCTGGGGGGGCAGAGATTAGTTAGAGAAATACTCAAACTTTCATGCTGTGATGGATTTTATAAGGGAGAAGCATCTGGAGGTGCTGGAAAAGTCTTCCCTAGGAAAGTGACATTCAAGCAGGTATTTAGAGACTGAATGGGAATTCACTTGGCAAAGAGGAAGAAAGGAGGAACATTCCAGGTAGAGGGTACGGCATGTACCAAGCCTGAGAAGGAGGAGGAATGAGTTGCTGATGGAAGGCCGAGATGTTGAGAGGGAGGAGGAGAATGATCTTGAAAGATGCTGGGGAGGTGAGCACAGTTAACCACATAGGGCCTTGTAAGTCCTACGAAATATTCTAGTGCTCATCCTAAGAGCAGAATGAAGCCTCTGAAGATGCTGAACCAGATTTGCATTTCAGGAATTCCTCTGGCTGCATGTGGACAGTGGATTGAACTGGGTGAGGAGGTCAGAAGAGCAGGCAGAGGGACGAATAACATGCCTGAATGAGAACTAAATATCTGCAAACTAAATAACTGAAAAATCTATGAACTGTCAAATGAACAAAACTAGGACAGTTCTTCTGAATCCAGCATGTAGCTTTAGAGCAGTCATAATCAAAAGATACAAAATGCACTTAAAGAATATGTAGGTGAGAGGCAAAATTGGAAAAGACCCAGAATCCTTGAATCTTAGATTAAAGTTAAGCGCCTTCTGAAGTCACCTAGTCCAACAGGGAACAGAGGCTCACAGAAGCTGAGGAATGCATCAAAGCCTCCGTTAACTGGTGAACTCACATCTCCTGAATTCTTATGCAGCTGTGCTTTCTATTAATTTGCCTGAATTTTTGTATCTAGAATATAATGAATACTCTGAAAAAAAGGAGCAATGAAGGAGAAATAACCCACTGCACACTAGAACATATTATAAGGCAGCAGCAATTAAAATGGTACAGTACTGATCAGAGTAAAACAGTCAGGGGCCCAGAACCAGTCTTTGGTATACATAAAAAAAAGGATGTCATGTATGACTGACTAAGCCATAACGTAACAAGAAGTATAAACACTACTAAAACATTATTGAGATAATAGTATCTTAAATCTTCAAATACCTGTATCTTAAAACAAATTTCAGAGGTGTTAGCAAAATAAATATAAATAAATCAAACCATAGATAAACTGGTAGAAAATAGATTTGCTATCCCAACTAAGGAGAAGTAATATTTTTATAATCATTTAAATAATAGAAGACCTCTCAAAGCAAACGATAGACAAAAATTACTGTATAAAAACTTTACAACTTCACTAAAAGTAACATAAAACATGTTAAAATGCAAAAAAAGAAAAAGTATTGAGAAAAATATAGCCAAAGAAGGGTTAATATCTATAGCACCTATGTGTAGTAGCAACAACAACAAAAAAAACCAAGACCCAAATGGGCACATGAGTAAAGAAATGTGTAGTTAATTCACCCAATAAGATAAAAAGAACATTTAAAAATTTCAAGTTTGGGCAAATTAACTGAAGCAATAATGAAGCGGCATTTCACACAAACACTACTAATAATATATTGTAAGTGCTGTTAGTTTGGATTATCTTTTTCTTATTACATTCTAGTCAATAAGGAGCGAAGTGTAGTGCAGGTAGTGCTTAGGAGGGAGACCCCCTCACTGGGTCTACGGGGAGCATCACCCACTGGAGGCAATTTGGTAAATTCCTACACTTTCACCCAGTGACTCTCAAGCCTGAGAATTTATCCCAAGGCAGTAACTAAAAGGAAGAAATAAAAAAAAAACTACAAGTCCAAAGTTGTTTATAGGAGGGTTGTTAATCACACATACAAGAACTGTAAACATCTGAAATACCCAACAATAGACACATTCATACAAAAGGAAACTATGCCCCCACTAACTGATAAACACGTGGACGAGTCGAAGTATACGGAATCAGTCACGAAGTAAGTATTTTAAAACTAGAAACAGGAAGTTGTATCTATACCACCAAACCAACTGTGAACAAAATGTAAATAAGAGTAAACACTGGAAAGAATAAAAATTGTTGCTTTTTCAGAATTTATGGGCTTGTAGGTAAAATTTTAAGATAAATCTTTTCCTTGGGTTTTAAATCTGCTTTAATAAACAGAAATTAAAAGTAGAGAAGTATATCATATTTTTTCCAAAGATCTCATCTAAAGATTATTCTTTTTTTAAAATTGGTGCTTTAAAAAATTATTGGAAATTTTCCTTCTGAGATTCCTCTTGTCAATGCTGAACAGGTAGAGTTAGTCACTGTATCTCAGACCACGGGTCTCTAACATGGTTGGTGGCACCCGGGACAGGGCTTCATGACAGTCCTCAAGCAGAAGGCTTCTATACTGAGACTGACCCCGGCGAGCGTGAGCCATCAGGAGAGGTGAGTCAGGAGAAGGGGCTGGGAGGGAAGGGAGGGGGGAGACCCCCAAGTCTTAACTTTCTAAAGAGGAGTCTGGCAAGTGGGTGGGTGGGGCATTGCAGTCACCAGGATGGAAGGGCTGGGGTCTGGACTTTGTGGTGACAGCAGATTAGAAAGCAAGAGATGACTCAGATGTCTCAGAAAGAGGAACTGTTCCTGGGTGTGCGAGGAAAAGGAAAAGGAAGCGTCCAAAGTTCAGGCCTGGGTCACCTTTCCAGACCCACAAGGCTCAGGGAGCGGGGCTGGTAGGAAGGAGACAAGTTAAGAGGTTCTCCGAGTGGGCAGGAAACACCATCTGATTCATTCATTCATTCATCTGCAAATATTTACTGAGGGCCTGCTCTACGTCCGGCCCATGCTCGCCATCGGGACAGACAGAGGCTCTGACAGGAAGTCCAGTGTTTACATGTTCACCTTCTTTGATCTGGAGAAAACGAATCCAGCCCTGGCCTGGGGAAAGCATCTCCCCGACCTCACCTACCTTTTTCCTGCTCAGCTGCTTCACTGAGTTCTGGAAGCTTGAGCCCCACTAAGTTCTGGTTTCTTATCAGGATGTGCTCCTTTTGAGGAAAAGAAAGACAACATTTCAGACAATGTCCTCAGACTGGACTCTTCTCTTGGTTCTGTCTGTGGCTCTTCGACCACTCAGTCTCATGGGGGAGACATTAGGGGCATGGACAGTCACGACATCTGAGGGGCACCACCAGGAAGACCACTCCTCTCCCAGCCCATAAAGGTGAAGAAAACCTCACCATTGGCACTCATCCCTTGGGTCAGGAATTGTCTTTGGCATTGCTGGCTTTTACAAAAAAAAAAAAAAAAAAACACCTGTGGGCCTCAGGGCAAGGGAGCTGCCAGCTTCTCCGTGGCTGAGGGCTGGGGGACAAACAGAAGCACAGCCCAGGGCTCTGGGGATAGGAGGGTCCCCTGGGTGTATATTGAGCTGTCAAAGATGGAAACTGTCCTGTGATCTCATGGCTGTGCTCTGAATTGGCTGCAGTCTCCTGCCTTGTTGTTCTGGGCAGTGAGTGCCCACTTCCAGGACTTGTGACCTCCCCTGGCCCCGGGTCCTCAGTGGCCTGTAATGGCCCCTCTTGAGTTTTTAAACTCTCCAGGAGTATGTGGCCTGTAGACTGCCACCCTGAGGCAGCAGGCCAGCAGCTACTCCTGCCTGGGGCCTCAGCTAGCAGAGCTGGGGAGAGACGGATGGGATGCTGACTGCAGGGATGTGGCACAGGTAGTCTCACAGCTGTGAGCCCAAGACCAGAGCCCCCAAGTGGAAATGCTAGACAGAGCTCCTTGGCCCTGTGACTTGTGCTCCTAAGGAGATTTTCAGTATCTCTGCAGCAGAGGCCACTTGAATGGTTTGCTGTCTGGATAAAGGAGGAAAGGAAGGGGCCAGCAGAGGGTGCCCCGGCCCAAATGGAAGTCACAGGCCAGAGGCCCACAGCCAAGCAGCTCTCAGCACCCTGGCTGGGGATGGGGGTGTCTGCTGATAGGGCAGTGGTTAGTGTGATGGGGTCTCCAGGTTCTCTGTGGTTTCTTTGCTACAGAGAGAAATTTGCAGAGGCATGGTGATGGCCTATTGCCTGGGCCTGGCCTCTGACACCCAGAGAACCATGAAGGCAAGTGCCTACCTAGACCCCTTGGCATCACCTTCCCCGGAGGTTTAGGACTGTGGCCCACCAGAGGCAGCCCTTCCAGGCCTGTGCTGATCCACTAGTTAATGTGGTCTTCCTGGACTGGTGGGCTTTTCTGTGTAAAATGTCATTCACCTCAGCAGCCAGGCCCCAGCTCCCTCAGAGTCTCCAACTCAGAGCATCATGGAAGGTTTCTGAATAGAACTGTGGCCAGTGTTGGAATGTGTCCCTGCTAGTGTGTGACCCCCTCACTTGTGCCACTGTGCCTCTTTCCCTTCCCCATCTCCCACCCCCTCTGCAGGGGAACCAGGAGAACCCTGGCCAACTCTAGCTGTGGGAGCACCAGGCCCTATCCTGTGGAGTCTGGCTGCCTTGGCCCATGGCCTGGGTTGGCCCCTGGAGAACTGGGGCTTGGATAAGGATTTCTTTGTCCTGTTAACCTCTTCTCTTCTTCACATCCTGGGCTCTCTTCCCTCCATTTCTGGATCCCCCAGTCATTCCCTATATAGGATGCCAGCCCCATGAGAGACCACTGTGCCTGGTTAGGTGGCCCATGACAGCTGGGGACATGATGGCCATCATTATGCTTGGATGGATCTGAGGCCCTTGGTTAATAGGCATCAGGGAGGAAAGCTTGGGGCATGACAGGGGAAAAGCTACTCCATCCTTGCCCCGTCCTAGGCATGATAAGGTGCTCAGTCAAAGGCTTCTTGCTCAGAGCCACCAGCTCTGGCTGGAAGGGGAAAACAGCCCAGAGCTGAGGGCCCATCTGCCCCTCCATACACCCACCTTCTCCTTGAAATATGGCGCTGTGTGGCAGCTACATCCCAGCTGACTACACTCAAGTAAGCAGTGTAAAAGCACGCAAAGACAATGTTTATGATGAACATGTTGCCCTGCGGGCCGGGTTTATCAGGGTGGGGACGTTCAGGGCCCCCACAAGGCCCACATCCGGACCTGCCCCAGGACCCAGCTCAGCCCAGAGGTCTTCAGCCCTGGGGGCAGAGTTGGAGGACCTAGATGCACATCTGTCCAGGGGTTCCCCAGGAACATACCTCACGGAGCTTGGTCAATTTCTGCATCCGCACAGGCTGCACTTGTATCTGAAAGTCTTTGAGTCCAGACGCCTTGGCCATCTTGCTGCCCACTTTGCCTGAAAAACGCTTCTCTTCCTCTGCCAGTGGTAGCTTGGCAAGCACTTTCTGGAGATGGGGGCCAGGTTCCTCGGGGCCACTGTCCCAGGAGACCCCCCGCAGCAGGGGTGGCCGGGATGCAGGGGGCCACAGCTCAGCTTTGGAGCCAACTTTGGACCCTGTGGGCTCTACAACTGTACCTTTTCCCTGGGGGGCCTGGGAAGCTGCACCTCCAGACCCCTGGGCTGGACTTCTGGGCAGAGGGTTGCCTTCCCTGGATGTCTTTGGAAGCAGCTTCCCCAGCTCGCTCTCCACAGGGCCAGGCTGGGGGGTGTTCAGGGCCATTTTCCCACCACCGCCTGTGCCAGAAGCTGGGCCCTTGGGTACGGCCTCCGGGCACTGGAGGGGATCGAAGTTTTCCTTTTGTTCTATCGTGATCTCTTTGGACTTCTCAACTGTAGGAGAGCGGGGTGTCAGCCGGCCCTGAGACACTTTCCTCTGGTCATTCTGCTTCCGGTCAGCTAACCCTTTGAGGACATTCTGAAAGAGACAAGGTAGAGCTGGGAGGCAGGTTGCAGAGGAGATAGGTGTGGGACTTCTGTCCTCTGGACCCTGCTAAGGGGTGTGTGTGTGTGTATGTAGCGTGTGTGGAGGTGGTGGAGGAGTGTGGGCTAGGTGGAAGGAGAAGACCTCTCAGTCAAGTCTGAGCCAATAAAGGGGACCTACGGACAAGCTTGGGGTTTGTAAAGCAGGACAAGAGGACCTGTTATTCAAAACCTGCCAAGAACTTCCCAAGGGCTAGGAGCTGCCGAGAACAGCAGAATAGAGGGCAGCTTGGGGGCAGTCACAAGTTTTGGTGTTGACTCAGTTGCCCCAGATTTTAGTCCTGGCTCTGCCTCATAAGGCCCTTAACTCTTAGGAACTCAGATTTCCCATCAGGTTTGTGAACCCTCTGAAATTATATGCAAATGTATCTGTGTGTTTATGCATTGTATGTATTTTTCTGGGAGGAGAATATATGACTTTCAACAATTTCTCAGAGACTTCCACAATCCAAAAGAAGCTACAGATCACTGACCAAGGTGATTCTTGCAAAGCTGATGTCTTACGGCTCAGAAGTTCTAAGATTCTGCAGTCTCCCTTCATTTCTCAAGGGAAACCAGCTTTGTGAGGAGTAGGTAGGTCTCTCTGGGTATTCGTGTGGCTGCCTTGGGCATGTGCTGAAGCTCTCCCAGACAACTGTATCCCAGACCTAGTCCTACATTAGATTATGCTCTATGCTGCCCTTGACACCACCTTGACTCTGAGCAGGCATATGGCTCTTCTATTGCTCATCAGCAAAGGTGAGGTTTTCCAGGCTGCCCCTAGGAAGAGTCCCAGTCATGCGCTGGAGCTTTCCTGAAATTTTCACGAGAAGTGACAGGAGCAGCAGTCTTGCCTGGCTGCTGCTGGACCCAGCAGTCCCCTGGTCTCTGGCAGCAGCCTGACTAGGGAGGTAGGGCTATGGGCAGGACCACCATGGAGGTCATCCCCATGACTCCCACCTCCTCACCCCTCCACCTCAGACTCCTAGTCACAAGAGGGCAGAGGAACCTTCCAGCTTCCTCAGCCTCAACCCTCCACTCATGCACACCCACTCGCAGGCTGGCCTAGACCCAGCAGAGGCATCTGGAACACTATGTCTCCCATACCCATCATCCAAATTGGGTAGAGCTCAAACTCACAGGCTTGCCAAGGTGAGGTGAAGAGACTTCGGCCTCATCCCCTTTCTGCTGGAGAAAGTAAACACGAGTCAGTCAGCAATATGAAGAGACCATATGTCCTTTTGAAATACCCTCAAGGAGGCTCCTACAGTGGAGTCAATGTCTTTCCCACCAAGCCCCCTCACCTCCAGTGGATCATGGAGGGCCTCTTGGATGTTAAGGGATAAGAGGAGAGACTAGCTGGTGCAGAAACCCCAAACAGGGTCCCCGTTATTACCTGTGGTGTTGCTCCAGGCAGAGGGGACTGTGGGCTACTGCACGCATCCAAACCTAAAATGGTCCAGGCACTGGTGAGTGATGCCCAGTCTCCCAGATCCTCAGCTGTTGTCAGCTGCAGCAAAAATACATCTACCTCCCCAGAATGTTCTCCTTAGCTCCCTCAGGCCTCAGAGCTAGTAATGCAAGTATTTATTGGGAGGACCTCCCACATGCCAGGGTCTGTGGTGACCCCCACTTAACCATCACAGAAACCACTCAAGGCAACCGAGGCAGGAGGAAATCCAGGCCATAGAGCTAGGGGGGCCAGTGCTGGGATTTGAACCTAAGGTGCCTGGCCCAAGCCTGAGCCTGCCCTGCAGCTCTGACAAGGGCAGGCTGCTCTCCCTGGCACCTTGCCCCTTCCCCAGCTGACTTGAGGGTTTGGCCCTGAACACAGCCTAATGAAAGGGAAGCCATCAAAACACAAAGAGTGGGCCACATAGAGGCCTTTGCAAGTAAGCTCTGAGGTGACCTCTCCCCGCGTTCTCTCTGGGCAGAGAGCCCCAGTCACAGTCCACCTTCCCACAACCTTGCCCTGGTTCTCACCCCACCGGTCTCATCCTGGGCTAGGCCTGTTTGAAACCCCAAGAGAAAGCACATCCTCCTCCCCCGGGGCAGCCCTGCCAGACCCCTGGGGAGGGAACCAAAGGGGGTCCCACCGGGAAGCCTGCAGGCTGGGAGTCCTGGAGGCCAGCAGTGGGGCTGAGTCACCACCTGACTGGAGAAGCCAGGGCAGGAAATGCCAGGGGGCTGGACCTCACCGGGCGGCGAGGGGACGGTAATCAAGTTGCTCTGAGAGGACGCAGGAGAAGCTCCGGGACTGAGGTTTGGGGAAACAGCTGTGGAGACAGACACAAATTGGCCAGCATTTGTGAGGGTTCAAGACTTCAGCCTAACAAAGACATCCTTTGGGGTATTTCTCATCCCTTGGAACTGGGTCTGCCTTGTCGGGGTCAGGGGCTAATTCCGGACTGTCACAGAAGGCTCCTACCACAGCCCAAACTGTCCCTGCTGCCAGCCCAGCAGTAGGAGCACTGGGTCATTTGGGAGAGGGGAGGATTGGGGTCACACTCCTCAGTCTACCTGACCTGACACCAAACCACCTCCTAGAAACAGAGGACCTGGTGCTGCTTGGCAGGTACAGCTCCAAAGGCTGCACCTCCTTGACTGGCCAGGCTGGTCCTGATTTCAGATGCGTCCCTTGCCTCCTAGGTACATTCAGACTTATCTAACTGCCCCGAATTTTTGCTCGGGAAAAAGAGTGACTTTAGCCAAAGGGGTAGTAGAAGGATTTCAGGGTCCAGAAAAACCTTCCTTCTAATCTAGGAATTCCAAAGAACAGCCTCCCTTCCCCAACAGTAACCAGGATCCTTCCTGGTGCCCACAGCTGGAGGTCAGGGAGAGGGAGCCCAGTGCTTGCCTCTCCTGACTTCTGTGGAGGCAGTGACCATAGAACAGGGCCTCATGGGGACAGTGGGAGCTACACAGGCCAGGCAGGGTGGCCTAGGAATCTGTGCACACAGGCATCACACAGAGGGTTTCTCTCCATGCAGCAGGGTTCAGGGACTGGGGACCCCTAGTTAAGTTCACAGGTATCATATGGGCTGGCATTTCTTGGCAAAGCAGGAAGACACAACGGTCACACACAGGTCCCAAAAACGAAAAGCAGAGTTTTCTGGGCTAGAGTTGGGTTAATATTTCAGAGCTTCTGAATGGGGCAAGATGCCCTCTCCTCACAGGATCCTCTCCACAAGGCTCAGTCCTCTGGGGGCTTAGAGGCCTAGAGGCAGGAGAGTTGAGGGCCACCCATCAAAAGCAGGGCTCCCACTGCAGCTGGGGCCGGGCCCTCCTCACCCTCCGCCCCACCTTGGAGGGGCTCAGGGCAGTCACCTGTCATCCTACCTGACGGGGAGTCTCCGGGGCTGCTCCTGGACTTCCTCCCACGGCGGGTCAGGAACCGCTCACTCACCGACTTGGCTTCCTCCAGCAGCGCCAGGTTTTTCTTCTTGTCCTCCTCTGAGATGCTGATGTCCGGCAGCTGGTCGTTTACCAGGTCAATGACGTGCCCCGCAGGGTCTGCAGAGGGAGGGTGAGAGCCACAGAACCCTTGGTCCTTGGCTGAAAAGCCTTGCCTCCAATCTCCACACCTCAGCCTGGAGACACTGCCCAGAGCAGACTCAACCAGACAGACCTCGGCCCGATGCTGGCCCTGGAGAGAGCTGCACGGGGACCAACGGGGCTTCCTCAGCAGGCCTGGCCCCTCCCACTGTAGCCAGCGGCTGTGGCAGGTCCTCTGTCATAAATGGTCACTTGGCTCCTGGTACTGTCCCAAACTCTGCTGTTAGGGAAGGGCAGCAGGAGCCCCACCTCCGTGTTATCTGCTCCCCTAGGGTTCTCTCCTCCAGTCTCTCTTTCTTCAACAAGCTAGTGAGCTTAACGTGTAGATAAAGGAGCACTCCAAGATCATGGGCCAAAGACCATCCCATGGCCATCTTCCCTCCTTTTTCCCCTCTACAAACACTGTTTACCATCTTCCTTATCCAAAACCATCCCTTCTCCAGGAGGCTTTCCCTGGGAGACATCACCTCTTACCCAGCTGCTCAGAAACATGGGAGTCACTCCACAGTCTTCCCTCTCCCTCAGTCCTCCAGCGTCCAACCAACTCATCATCAAGTCCTGATCGTCATCTACCTTGTAAATATCTCTGGCACCTGTGCCTCATCTCCACTTTTGCTCATCAGCTGTAACTTACCTGCACAATTACATCAGCCAACTCATAGGTCCCCTACCTTCAGTCTGTCCACTCTGTCCCATCCTCCACTGCCTATCAGAGTGACCTTCCCAAGAGCCATATCTGAGCATGGAGTGCTCCTGCCTCACCTCATCAGGATTCCGCATGGTACCCAGTGTGACATCCAGATGCCAAACCCAGCCCAGCCACTTTTGATGACCCCATATACTTCTCTCCTCCAGCCCCACAATGGTGAACAGCTCCCATTGTATCTCTCTAGCTTCCTTTCCCCCTTCTCCTGGTCATAGCTCCCCAGTTGGCATTGGGTAAAACCCCTCTGAGTCTCAATTACAACAGTTAGGAAGGAGCTAAACCCTACCGCCCACCTCATCCCAAGTGCCAGTAATGGAACCATGCACCATCCTTGGCCAGTCAATGAGTTCCACCTCCTGGGTGGCTGGCTCAGGGATGGCCATCTGAGGCCAATAAGAGGCAATTCTGGGAACTGTGTTGGGTATACGAGGAAGAGGATTGCTCTTTCCACTGATGGGATGTCATCTGGGATTGACTGATAGCTGTTTGCCCAGAAGAAAGCCAATACACAAGGGAGGAGACTTGGGATGGGACAATTGCTAATGACCCAGCTAGGGCGCCAGGATTCAGCACACCCTGAAACTACAAGCCCTGGCTTTTATTTATTTTAAATTTTGGCTAGTGTGAGTTGAGTTTCTATTATATGAAAGAATCTTGACCGATACACACAGCAGAGAATTCAGCTGCTCTGTTATGGGTCCTGCTCGCCAACTGTGTTGCTTCTTCCACCTGGATTACCTCTCCTCCCTCTTGTCTATCTGCCCAACTCTCTAAGGCACAACTCACGTCCTCTCTTCTCTGGAAGACCTGCCCACACTTCCACAGTTCCTCTCTAGCTGGAATTGGTCTCCTTCTCAACTTAGCTTCCCTAACACTTCTGAGAAGTGCCTTACAATACAGTGTCCTGGTTACATCTGTTCAATTCTCAGCCTCTTCATTGACTACGAGCAACATGAAGGCAGAGACCAAGTTTGTATCATATCTATGTTCTGATGGTCCAGAGCAGACCCTGAGAAATCCTTCAGGGAATGAGCAGGTGATGGGGGCAGCCAACCTTGCATCCCAGCACAAACCTACCTGCACGTGGGCCTTTCTAGCAGGGGTGGAGGGTTCTGCCCTTCAACCCTAAAACTGAGCCTCACCCAGCAGTTCTGTCTCTTGTTGACTTCCTCATTTTCCTCTTTGTGCCCTGGTATTGTATTTTCACTAGAACAAATTGACATTTGGGCTCAAACACAGGGGGCTGATCACTTTGCCCTGTTGGGTGCATAGGGATGGACCTGCCTGAGAAGCAGGAGAGGGGAAGGGGCCAAGCCTGGCCAAGCTGCCAGACCTCAGTCTTCTTAATCAGACACACTTTCAGGGGGATCCCTATCTCTGGTTGCAGAAATAAGATAAATCGGCTTAGTCCTTACCCACAGAAGTCAGAGAAGCAGTGGAAACCTTCAAGTGTCGGTGAGAAAGCCTCCTGTGGGGACTGTGAGCTCTGAAAGACAGAAAAGAGCCATATTGTTAAGAAAATTTGTTCGCACCTTATAAGTAGGAAAACAGATGCTTGTATGTTCTTTCGGTCATCTTAAAGCATCATCTTATAAGCTTATCGAAGCTTGGAAGTTTGTTAGAAATGCAATCCCTCCCAGACCTACAGGACCAGAAACTCAGGGTGGGGCCTGGCCATCTGTGACTGAACAAGCCCCCCAGGTGATTCTGATGCTCACTCAAGTTTTCAAACCATGGCCCTAAGGAGATAACAGTTGGACTATGTACTATTTACCAGGGCTCAGACTCTGAGTGAGCATCTAACTTGTAGAAAACTCACAAAATGTGAATAATTATCTAGTAGAGATGCAGATGATTTCTGTTGGGGAGAAACGATAAAAATTAGGTTTCATTGCCCTATGAAACATTAACCTATTTTACATCTAACTTGGCAAACTTACACCAGCTTTCATCTCCTCCTCACTGATTATATATGTATATCCATTTCTTGTATCCTCCTTTGAACTGACTTTTCTCTCCTGATGGTCCCCTCGTTAATGAGTTAAATAAATTTTTGACACAAGGTCACTATACATTTGCATGAGCATTATCTTCGTACCTTTTTGGAAATCACACTTAGACAATCTCATTCCTGCTAGATTAGGTGGTCTAGTGCTATGTAAAACCACGGCAGCAACATCTCCGCACATGAGCCAATGTCCCTCCCAATAAGATCATCTTCCACACAGAACCCACTTTGGCCTGGGGGAGGAATCTACAGTCCAAGACATATCTTTCAGGTCTGTTTGCAGATATCTGGGCAGTTATTGTAGGGAACTCCCCTGCTAGGATTTGTGCTATTCTTAAAGGTTAGCAAATTGCAAAGAGCCAAACCCAGGAGAGAAAAAAATCATTGAAGGGAAAGATAATGGAAAAATCCCAAGCTCTCTCTCCCATTTTGAAAAACTGCTTGATTGTATTTCATCAATAAAATGATCAAGAAAGAAGAAAAGATTTATAAAAAGAGAGCTGTCTAATCCCCCACGTGCTAGGAAATATTGCTCTTCACAGCACAAAGATTAAGCATATAGGATGTACCTGTTGACCAGGCTTTTGTCAGTTTCTCCTTCCGGTGAACTGGCATCCCCGGTCAGGATAATGGTGGGTGGACTGCAAGATATTCCTGCGGTGGGAGGGCCCTGATGGTTTAGAACAAAAACACAGATGGAGTTAAGCTATCAGGAACTGGAGCCTTTATTTCAGCATTAAGACACTCAGAGCCTTCTTAACAAGGGTCGAATGCAGTTTATTTGGATTATTCAGGGGAAAAAAAATCAATTTCTCCTTCATTCCCCACCAGGCATTCACTGAGCTGAACACAGTCCACTTTTCATGCACTAAGTTTAAGGAAACTCTAAGCCATCCCTGGTTAGTTCTCATTAAAATGTAGGAAAAGAATGGTGTGGGGTCCTCAGACTGCAGCCAGGCTGGCTGGAGAATGAGGGGGACCAGCAGAAAAAGCAGTGGCACCCACACGTTCCTGATACCCAGTGACAGTCCTACATTGGGTAATAGAAACATTTCAATAAAAGTGATTTGTTCAATGGGTAATGGAATGCAGTTTAACTCTTGTAACTTTGTAAAAATGTTTATCTAAATGAACACGTATTTCTGAAACAAGAAGTCACTAGCCAATCGTTAGATTTTTCAAGATATTTTGAAACTGCTAAACAAAATAGAACAAAACTACTAACAGTCAAAATGAGTTATTAGGTCCTTGGTTGGGGAAGTTGTAGTGAAACTGGTCTACTGTTATGCTGCTGATGGCTACATGAGTTGGCTGTGTGAGCTGTAAAATCCTATATCTGGAGTATAAGAAGTATTTGTTGGCAAATGAATGACTGAAATAAAAGCAATACTGTATAGGACGTATAACACCCTGTAAAGATGCATGTCAACCTATGTTTTCCCCTATGTATGTGGACTGGGGATAAAAATAGGACCAGTTAACAGTAACACACAGTATCTCTCTGGTTCTTCTGCCACATGCTACTGCAGTATTTCCATCTCAGAATTGTTCCCAGTTATGTCTGGGAGACTTTCTAGGGGGTCCTCTCCTCCGACCTTCACCATCTTCCTTCTCCTCTCCCTGCCCCTCTTACTGGTGTGTGCTGTCCAGGCCCTCTGTGAATGCTCTCCTCTCCCTGCCAAAGGTCTGTCTCCCCATGCTCCCAAGCATGCCACACCACTTCCCACTGTTGATGCAACCTCCTGAAGCTTTAGAAGGCAGATCCCCCTGGGCACTTTCTCTGGAATTCATTTTCTTCTGGAGTCCCTGGGCATTCAGTGCTCTTACCTCTACTGGCCCCACTGAAGCCATGGCCTGGGGGCTGCCCTTGCAGAGCCATGGCTGAGTTGCGTTCTTGAGCCTTCAGTATGCAGATGTTGGCTCCTTGCAAGGAGGGGAGAAGACCCTCTGTCCTTTTCACATTATTGCTCTTTGTTAAGTGGGGACTGTACAGTGCTCTCTGAACTTTTTAAATCCCACAAATTTTAGTGGGATTTCCACATTCATTTGCATCTCTTCCCTCCCTTGGCCTCAGACATCAGGCCAGGTGAGCTGGTGAAGAGTGTCTGAGTCTAGCCAGGAAACATCGGACCCCTGTGTTCTGGGACCTCTTCAGCTGGAGGGAGCTGCAGTGCTTGGAGGAAGTGAAAGCTCTCAGAACTCCCGAGCACACAGAAAGGCAGTTTGGGCAAGGACTGCGGCTGGGTAGGAGTAGGAGGCAGCACTGCCAATTGGAAGAATCATACAGACCTGCGCTCAAATTTCTGCTCATCATCTACTAGCCATGTTTCCTGGGCAAGTTATCGAACTTCGATATGCTCCATTATCATAAAGGTTGACGTGAGGACTTAGCACATGATGGATATTTTCAATAAATGGTTATAATACTGTCAGATTACTTTTTTCTTTCATTCAACAGACACATTGTAGTTACCTATCATGTGCCAGGAGAAGCTTGAGATACAAAGACTTTTGAGAGCTCACAGTAAAGCAAGGGATACAGAGAAGTAATTAATACTTAAAATATATATAAGGTGATAAGGGATGGACCACATTCTGTAAAAGCCAAAGGAAAGGAAAGAGAACTCTCTTCAGCAGGGTAGTTGGAGAAGACTCTCCAGAGAAGGCGACATTTGAGCCAGGTCTTGAGGGATGAATAGAAGTTTGCAAGACAAAGATATTAGGGGAGACACTTTAGGCAAAGGGAACAGCATTAGCAAAAGGCATAACTGGGCATTAGGGATTCATCACTGTAGCTGGAGCATGGACTATGGAGTATGTGAGATAAGAGAGTCCAGGGATGGGGGCTGTGACATTGTGACTTATAAGAAATATATATATATTCTGTCACAAGGACAGAAGTTGGTAGTTTCCCAAAAAGCAAACAACTTCTACGGACAGTTTCATCTTGATGGCTTGTGATGAGCTGGTCACTTGCTTTGTCCTCTTATATTTTCCCTCACTTCCCATAACTATAAGATGGTCAAAGGCTTGCTGTCTCAGAAGTTTGTGCAAATGAAATGAAATAATGAATGTGTATACACTTTGGTAAGTGTCACATGGTCTAAAAATACCCATTACTCATGGTTATCATTCAAATGAACAGCAGCTCCACTCAGTTCTCCCCAGTTTTTGTCCACCAGGCTCCCCTGGTGGGAGGCCAGAGAGCAGCAGAGGGGCTGGGGCTTTCCAAAGGGCAGGAGGGAAGCAGGGGGATCTTGGGTCATGGTGTGGGGCCTGGGGACACACAGTGGACCAGCATCCCGGGGAGCTGCTGAGGTCAAGAAAGGCAAGCACTGTGTCAAAATGGCAGGTGATGGGGTGGAGCTGGGGCAGGCAGGGCTGGGGGCAGGTGCCCGGCTAATGGGAGACCCAGTGAAGAGGAAGGACTGGGGGGGCATTTTCTACTGTGTGGATTCTCGGGGAGGCAGGAAGGGCTAACGTTTTTCCAAGGTCTCCTCTCCACATCGCTAAGAGGGTTTCCTGCCGAGGTGGTCCCGTGGATCTCAGTCAGAGAACTAGCATCCTCTGGAACCTATCCTCTGGGCTCAGAGGTGCAAATTGGAGACCTGGGAGCCATTTGCTGGGAGTGGTGTTTACAAGTGTTTATATTAGTTACCAACACTTCAGAATTGGAAGAACTCCCGTAAAGGTCTGGATTTCCTGCTTTTCCTGAAAAGCCAAGAGAACAGGCCATCCTGGTCCACAGTTCTGCAGAATAACCTTCCCTTAGAGTCAGCTTCAATCATTTACACTCCCTGCCTGGCCCCAAAGGCCTCTGAGTTACTGCCCTGGGAGCCACAATTCTTAGCCTACCTTGGTTTTCTGGGGCATAGGAAGTTTGTGCTTAAAGCCTCCTCTACCCACATCATTTTTTTTTTTACTCAAACTACTTTATTAAGGAATGTTTGATATATGAAAAGCTATACACATTTCATGTATACAATTTGATGAGTTTACAGATATGCCTACACTGGGAAATCCTTACCACACTCCATGCTATAAAGCTACCCATCACTTCTAAAAGTTTCCTCCTGCCTTATTTATTTTATTATTATTATTATTATTGCTGTGATGATGATGATGATAAGAACACTTATAAGATCTATGTTCTTAGCAAATTTGGGGGCAAACAATACAGCATTGTTAACTCTGGGTGCCATGTTGTACCATAAATCTCTAGGACTTATTCGTGGATGTGTAACTTCATGACATCTTGATGCAGCTTCTGTCCATATGGCCTCATGGGTGACTGTTACCATGGAAATGCCAATCAAAACACTGACTATGCTTACAGCATGTGTGAGGTTCCTTCTCTGGGTGGAGTTTACTTCAACAGTGAAAGTCTCAGCTCAGAAATTACTCTTTCCAAGTTTGTCATATGTAGAGAATTTCTTTCTTGTATGACTCCTCTAATGAACAAGAAGACATGCACTTTGGCAAAAATACCATTTGCACATTTGTTATATCTTACGGTTTCTGCCATCCCTTGGGGTGGGGCTTTTACAAATTCCCGGCATGCACTGGTGCAGGAGGGGCCAAACATTAATGTCTGCCTGTTGTGTTCCGAAAAATAAAGTTGCGGTGGTGGTGATAGGGTTACACTATATACCCATTTCCAAGAGTTTCACATATTCCAGCTGCTAAGTAAGTAGAACATAGTTCATTTATTTATTTAACTTTGACGACACACGACCTATTTCTCAAAGCAATCTGATGTCACCCACAATAAACTATGATTTAAAAAATGCAAAACTAGAAAAGTGGGGGAATGATTTGATAAATATAAACACCCCTAGCATATAAAAAGAAATACATGCTCCTTCTAACCATCCATGGTTTGACTCTGAAGTTAAAACTATTGAATCTGAAAGCTCATGAAGCCATGACCCATGTGGGCCAGCCTCTGAGAAAGCTTGCTTTAAAGAATTGGTCAGCAGCAATGTAAAGAGAATTCCACTCTTCACTCTCACCTCAGAGGACAGGAAAGGGGAACAAATCTTGTCTCCCACCCTCTCCACTCCTCTCCCCTTTGACTCTTACTTGCTTACCCTCCCAAATCTCCCCTCCCCTCCCCACCCCCTTCTCTTTCTCTCTCTCCCTCCCTCCTCAGCTTACTCCTCAAGCTCCATCCAATTCTTTATCCCTCAGCTTACTCCTCAAGCTCCTATCCAATTCTTTATCGTCTATTACTGCAAACTGTCTTACCCTTCCTTTTTAGGATTGACTCACAAAAGTTTTTAAAAGTCTTAAGCATCTAGGAGAGGTGCGGGTCTGTAAACACTCCACATTATTACAGTTTATTCTGTCCTTTCCTCCAGCAGACATGTACTGAATGCCTATTGTGTGCTATGGCCTATGCTAGGGCCTGGGCAGACAAAGGCGAACTAGGCAGGCCTCTGAAATGTTTCCCAGTTAACACAGTGGGATGGGGAGTGCGGTGGGAGGACCCTGCTCCCCGCCCCCACCTCCATCCCAGGTAGGCCCCGGGCCTGGTGTCAACACTGAGGGATGATCTGCAAGGCATTGGAGGAGCTGCTTCCTGGTGGAGTTCTCCCTGCCTCCTGGCGAAAGGCCACTTGCAGCAAAGCTCTCAGGAGGTGACTGTCCCGCATGGGGCTGCAGGCAACC